TAGTGTATCAAACATTTCTGACACGTAATTACATCATCCACAAGACACATGATTGTTGTGAGTATGCTGTTGGTCCTACAAGGGATGAAACAATTTTCAGACAGAACAAATCACTCCTCCCCTCCCTGCCCTATTTTTCCCTCGCAGTAATATTATATGAAGATAAATTTGCTGTGGAACCACAGGACACAGTGGTCTCAGAAGACTGCGGAAGAAAATGGGTTGGCCATGGCCATGTAGAAGAGTAACTCACTTTCCAAAGCACTGACATTTTCAGGCCATATTAGGTTCTCCTCATGGACCTCTTCCCATATATCTGGAAATTAGGGCCCTACCTGATGATGTGATTTCACTTGGGCCATAATGTGAGCAGCAATGATAACCACAGAGGCTATTGAGCATTCAGAGGCAGCAGACTATATAAAATAGGGCGAATTCCTTGGACACATGGAGGGCTCTCTTTTTCATCATAGAAAGTCCAAACTTAGTGAATTCATGTGAGAGGAATTATGCAGTTGAGACATTCATAGATATTTGATCCTTACAATCTCATTTATGTAAGAAAGCAAGTTAAAAATCAAGAATTTTTTCCAAAGCCTGTTATCTCTGTTATCCCAAATAGGAATTTCTGACAGTTCCTGGACAAAGAGCCAAATTTACACCTAGTGTCTCTGTTATCCCAAATAGGAATTTCTGACAGTTCCTGGACAAAGAGCCAAATTTACACCTAGTGTAAATCAAAGAAACTCTATACTTTGCATTATACTTAAGTCATAATATTCTTTGTATAAACTCTGGCTTAAAATGTATACACACACTGGTGCTTATCTGTTATATATGTCATGATTTAATTAAATACTTCTACAACTTCATATAATCTCAGTTGAAGGCAATCACTTCTCAACTGAACCAAACTGAAGGCAGTTTGATTTTGAAGGCAAAATCAACTGAAACTGTTGATTGTGCCTGTATCTACACTGGCTGAATTTGAGCATGTAATTCTCTGCCTCTGGTGACAAAGATGGAAGTGATATAATTTATATAAGGAACAACTATTGCCTGCTCTAATGGCTACTGTACAATACAGTGTGCAAATGTCAGTAGTGTTGGCTACAGCCCAATTTCTACTGCTCCACCAGAAGTGGCATTGTGTTGGTGGTGAATTACAAGGGCTATTTTTCCTAGCCTAGGCAAGGCCATGACAATCAGAAATATTTGGACTTGATATTTGATTAATGCTGGCAGTATTCTGTAAGTGATTGCCACTCCACAACATCTAATTACTTAATTATTTCTGTTATTAATGGAATGAACGATTCAAAACAAACAGCTAGAATGACTGTTTTGCAGGAAGCTCATAATCATCCATTCATACATGTAGAAATCTTCCTAAAATTATATTAAGCTGGCCTGTTGAACTCGAAAGGCATATTTTATCCCAATCAATGCATAAAAGTAAAATTATCCATAACTAAGGCATGTTCCTCTGCTGTACAGTTCAGCTGTAATGATCCCCACACACTGCACTTGCACATCAATTATGATAATCATAATCACGGTCGTTAAGCTGAATGTTCATTATTATCAGGATGCTGGTGACAGCAGATTCAATCATCGGGTGCAATGGGCAGGCAGTCACAGTCCCACCCAAGTTTCTGCAGACAGCGTTGTGCCACATTAAATCTATGATGTGTTCCACATCCCACTCCATTCCAAAAGCTGTAGACGGTAAAGGTCAACTTTATGTTCTGTGCAATATGCTTAGGTTCTCTAAATTAATTCTTTGCAGTACTGGGTATTTTTATGCTTTGTAGATAATAAAATTCTGTTTAGGGCCAAAATGCCTGTGCAAATAATGAAACAGTGAGGCAGTCGTACTGTAATTCACCTATAATAAGGCATCAGAGGAAAGAATCCATCAGGAAGGAACATCTTAAAATGTCACTTCCTGAATTTTGCAAATAAGAAAACATTAAATGCTGTCATTAAAGTCAGTTTTCTAAAATGCATATGCAAACTAATTCCAATACCGATTAAAGGCTGTAAGCTATCATTTCTGCCTCAGTAAATACGAACATATGTGAGTGTTTTGACAACTGAAAGATTATAGCGTATTTGATCCCTTGGCTGTCCAGCTACATAGGAGCCTATCATTGTAGATTAAATTCACAGTGACTGGTAAATTTTTTATATTGATACTTTCCACATAAATTCTATCAAAGACATTCCAAGGTATTTAGACTTACAATATTAAAATATGCAAGCACTTTCGGTTTTATAGTGGTTTACAACTGGGTAAACTAACTAGATTCAGTTTCACTAGAGGTATACTATTTCCATTTCGTGTTTATTTTTAATGAAGAATTAGAATACAACAGCTTTTCCCTTAACTCAGAAACTTCTTTGCAATGTAAATGGAACGAGACAAAAATTTTCAGATTATAACTAGATGAAGAACTATTAACTTTTCCTCAAATAGATATTGTAATTATCATGTTTAGAGGAAGTCTATGCTAATACCCTTTCATTTTCCAGAAGAAATATAACAAGGCAATATTTTTCATTGTTCTTCATTTTGCTTCTAAAGTAATTATATAATTTACATACTAATCTTTCTGTGACTTGAATTAAAACGCATACTTATAAACACATGAAAACCTCAGGAAAATGCATCTAGGACATGCTCATGAACATAGACAGGGAAACATTTTTATGTGTAGTTTGAAAAAAGTCAGCTAATACCAGTTAATATCAAATAATTACTCAGCAGCTCGAAGGGTTCACTGATCCACTGACCTGACTCCTTGGAAGAACTTAGGCAGTAGTTTGTCTTAGCAGCAATAAGAGAAACTTCTCTAGCATAATACTGTCAGAAGCTGAATATACATCATGGCAGCATTATCAGCTATTCAAGTTGTAATGTAAGTTCCATCCACAAAAATATCATCTCATAGGAAACTCAAAGGAGGGTTGTGTTTAGCAGACAAAGTGTTAAGCAAAAATATGTTGGTGGTTTTTTTTTAATATTTTGATACATGCCCTTTAGTCTGGCGATTCATTAGAACAGGATAATTTTTTTCTTAGCATGTACAACATATTAATAAAGTTTAGAAATAAGAAAGAGACAGAGTTCTTTCAAATTTAACAGTTATGAAAGTATGACCTCACTCCTGCTGAAAGGACTTTTTCCATTAAAATATAGTAAGGAGGTGGAATTTTTATTTTTTTTCCCTGATAATAATGACCCATTAAAAGACCAAGTAGGTCATAAATAGCTCTTTTCTCCTCTTATCTCTCTGTTTGGGTAAGCAGCTCCTAATTGAAGCTTCATATTGATTTAGAATTGGGGTTGGAAGGCTGTATGTCATGTTGGGTTAATGTATACAGCTATTCACCTACAGAGATTTAGGTTGAAATCTATCCAAGATCACAAGTAAAGTGTGTTTAGTTGTTTCAGCTAAGTCTATAATTTATATAATATTATATAGATGTGATATGATATACAACATAAATATCTTTACATTGCTTGATATCATCATCTGAGCCTGATCAAGAATGGCTAAGGACGGGAAAAGGAAGAGTCTTTACAGGACAAGATGAGTACCACCAACAAGATTTCTTTATCTTTCTCATATATCATACTTAAGCTGTGGGAGTTCAGCCAGTCACATCCTCCGCTCTGCTTTTGAAAGAGAAATTCAGATCTTTTTGTTTGAATGTTGATCTTTGTGACTTTATTTGCAATGGCATTTAATTAATGTATGTTCAAGTATCAAAATTTTAGTCTGAGTTCATTTTTGAAGCTTGAAGTTTTGAGAAACTATTCTTTTAAAAAATATTACTTCTCAAACTAAGATTCCTTGGAACTTGTTATATATTTGAAAAGGTTAAGTAACTTTCAGGGAACTAATACAAATTCCCAGAATTGTTTAGGTTGGAAGAGAACTCGAGATCTAGTCTAACTCCCTACTTAGCTAGAGTAGGTTGCACAGGATGTGTCCAGTTGGGTTTTGAATACCTCCAAGGATGGAGACTCCACAACCTTTTGGGGCAACCTGTGCCAGTGCTCTGTCACCCTCACAGTAAAAAACAAAAATAACCCAAACAAACAAAAGTGTTTTCTCATGTTCAGACAGAATTTCACGCATTTCAGTTTGTGTCCATTGCCTCTTGTCATTGGACATTACTGAGTCTGAGAGGAGTCTGGCTCCCTTGTCTGCGTTCCCTCCTATCCGATGTTGATATACATTGATAAGATCTCCCCTGAGCCTTATCTTCTCCAGCACTCTTAGTCTCTCCTCATTCAAAACATGCTCCAGTCCCTTAGCTATCTTTGTGGCTCTGTGCTGCACTCTCTACCAAGTCCTTTATGCTTCTTGTTCTGGGAAATGTTAATGTCATTATGATACCTAATACAAATAGAAGTAATGCAAACATTACACAAACTCATGTTAGAACGTATTCTGAGGAAAATTACCTCTTGTAGCACTACAAAACCAGAAATACATGAGATGCTCCTGATAAAGCAAGCAGTTTAACGAGACTATCTTAAAATAAAACAGCTCTTCACTAATTTTTATAATTTTCCAAAGAATGTAAGCAGTAAAATATTTTATTGGTTTTAATCAGGTTTTGCCGTAATTTTCTGAAGGTTTGTCTTAATGTGTAAGAGTAAATATGCAATCTCTCTTAAATCAGAAAAGGCAATACAGATAGAACAAAACTTTTCAAAACTTATATAACCCAAGCTGTCCTCAATCAGGCTTTTAAATCCTTATCTTGTAGGTGGGAGAGGTGTTGAATTTCCTCAAATTGAACTTACCACAAAGGGACTTAAGGAAGCCTGACATCTCATCACATCAGCTCTATGTGATTTTATAACATGATAGAACGATTCCCATTGGATTCCATGATCTCTGGATCAGGTCCAAATTCACTTAGTTCTAATACAATAACAATCTAAAAAAAAAAAAAATCCTTTAATTTCTGCCGTGACTTACCTTGTCTGCTACCCACTTCTTAGGCTGTACTTCTCGGAAGTGTTTAATTCCGTAAGTTTCTTGGCCATATTTGCCTGATCTATGAATTGACGGGTCATACTTCTTATTTTTATGATATGAAGAAAATGGTAGAAACCTGAAATTCAAGAATTTTAAAAAATCAGTTAGGGTCTACTCTAGATGGCACAGGATTGATGTAAATCATAGATACTAATTCTATAGAAGGTGACATGTACACATGTTCCTGCTATTTTCTGCTACCTTCTTAATGCTCCCTTTCAGTATTTTGAGAAGATTACTGCCATTTCTCCTATAGCTGCTTTTAAATTGAATTTGGAGCAAAGAGATACCGAGTTTCAAGGGGTTAAAATGAAGACTTTCTGTACAAAGATACAAGTTAGTTCACTTGAATTATTAGATTATTACTTTGGCTGTATCCGAACTACCAGCTGGTGTGATGTGAAGAGAGAATGAGCAGGGTTCGATTTCTTGTGATCTGCATGGTGACGCCTCAAGTCTTGGCAGGCAGCACAGTCTGCGCCAGCTGGCGGTGGGAGGCACTCACCATGCGCAAGTACAGAGCTCGTCTCTGGAGAACTTGAGTCCACTTTACAAGCCATGCAGGCCCCCAACACATAATCTCAACCTGATCCTTCCATCCGGATGGAAACATTTCAAACACGTCAGCAGTATAAGCATAAACCAAGGCAAGTTAGCTCCCTGTACTTTAAATTAGGTACATCGTTTGATATCTGTTAACCAAAGCTAAAGAAACCATACTCTCATTTAGTAAAATAGAAACTTATACAGACAGTACTGGTGACTTTCACGTATTGGCAGACCACAAAGTAAAGAAATTATTTCTTCTGAATTCACCAATTGTGTACTTTACTCTCAAGTTATAATTATGTCCTAATTAGCAATCTTTTGAAGCCTGATTCTTTCACCTTTGGTCATACTGATGGTGGACTCACTGCTTACATGGTGCCACTGAACAGTGAAGCTCCAGCTACCCACTTTGGGCATGTAATAGGTTTTCAGATGGATGTCCCTAACTCTCATGGACAACTGCAGATTTTCTGGGTAGGTTGCACAGCAAATCGTATGGATGATGGTCAAAGACATCTTCATATATAAAGGCTCTGCAAGAGACCTTACAAAGATGTCTTAGTTCCATCTATTTCAGTTTGCAAGAGAGTTATGAGAGAAACAGATACATTTTAATATAAAGTAAAATGTTGTGAATAAAACTTACTATTGCTGGTATTCTGTAAAAGCAACATGCTTTCTTTACAAGTGCAGGAAAAATTATTATACAGTAAAATTAGAAATATATGCTTCAGAAGTTTAAAACATCACTTTATCTGCTATGACAACAGGTGTAGTTAATTAAAATCTTTTCCTAGTTGAAAGCTTTTCAGAATCCAGAGTCCCTATCAGAGTTAGACATTCAAACAAGGTTTTGATAAAGACAGGGATTAAAATACCTTTCTTTGTCTCTCAGTTGATACAGACTCAGAAAATTATTTATTTGGACTAACTGATCCATCAGCAAGCATTTGAGTGTTTGCTTTTTTAAATTACACATCTTTCTTTCCACTTCATAAAAAAAAATATTTTAGAATCTTGCCAGCTATGTCAGTTTATTCTATCAAGTACCACAAACAAATGTCATGTAAAGTTAGCAAAAGAAAAACACTGAGTTAGCAGACTTTTAAATTATACAAAGCTATAGTAGCATGTGTATACTCATGGGAAAGGACACTCTCACATAAGACAGATTATGGTACTTGTAATGCTAATTTGCACATGGGATGGACATCACACACACACAAAAATTAATGTGGCCCCAGTGTCCCAGAGAATACATTGAAGGTGCTGTGAGCCGGCTGCTTCACTTGCAGTTTTTATCACTTCTGAATTGCATTTTAATAGTACATTTTTCTTTTGTTCAGACATGAAAGAAAATTGGCTTTCTCAGGGGACTGGATAGCTGAGAAGACAAGGCTAGCAGTTTAGGGATTTGCCCATATACGCATAGAATTTAGTTGAGCCATAGCATTCATAATTCAATATGAATACTATGTCAGTAAAATTTATACACTAAATGCGAAAAAAATTGTTGAGAGAAGTAGAAGATAAAGTAAATTATTATAGTTTTCCCTATAAAATTTCCTACATACAGGTTTTGATTTTACTGTGGATCAGCTAATCTTTGTCTTTTTGGTAAATGAACACTCAGAGTAATCTATGTTCTACCATGATTCCAAACAAGAAAATATCTGTATTGTAAAACTTTAAGGCACAACTAACTGTATGTTCTACATGTAGTTTAGCACAAATGTGATCTTCTGCAATCTGCTGCATGTCTCCTCTAAGATGATTAAATGGAGTACATTCCATACAGCCTGGAATGTATGTCTATGGCTGAGTAAAAAACTTAAATCAACTATGAACTTTTGAGGAAGAACATTGAACAACAAAATATATTAAAATTTAAATGAAATAACATTAAAAATATAAAAGAGTATAATGGTATAAATTGGTCTAAAGTAGAAACTTTCTTTTTTTCTTCTGTCCATAGTTCTGATCTCGGAGCAAGGTGGACAGATCCTAATAGTCATAATGATCTAACTACAAGAAAGGATTACATGCTTGCAAATTCAATGTCTGTTTAAAGCAAGTAAGAATTTTCATTACTCTATGTGAATAAGTAATTAAAAAGTACATTAAAACAATTTTTTGTGTTAACTAGGGTAACCAAATTAATGAGTCATACAAAAGTCATTATACCCCCACAACCAATAATAGTAGTAAAAAGCAATAGCACTGCAAAACACTTCAGTAATGGTATTGTGTTCTGTAGCTCTATACATACACCTGACACAGCTTTCCCCCAAATCAATGACAGTATGTGCTCTGAATGTGACAGAAGAAAGTGACGGAAGGAAAAGAAAACTAAATCTAGACAATGGTATGATGCCATTGTCAACTGCACAAGTTTAGACCTCAATAATTTTTTATTCCCAAAAAGCTCACTCACAGAATTCTTACACCTGGGTTTCAGCTTTTCCTTGTGATTTAAGGGTAAATTCAGAAATTCTTAAAGGTTTTCAGTAAACATGACAGAGACAGAAGTAGCAGGATCAAAGAAGAATTAAATTCTGTATATGATATATCATGACATAAAACACAGTCAGTATAAGCCGAACCTTTCCAAAAGTTGATGATCTAACGGGAAGTGAACTTTCCCTAAAGAAATAAATTTAAAAATGAAAAACTATTTCATTTCACCCACCTCAAAAGCTTGAATGGGAGGTATGCGAAAGAATACATTCAAGACAAGGGGAAAGATTTGGAATCAAAAATGGGAAGCTATCTCAGGTTTCACAAACAACAGCGTTACACATACACAACCTGAGGGAGTACCAAGACTGAAGCTGGCGGTGTCACTGGTAATGAAGGCCAGCTGCACTGCTGCCAGGACCACACTATGTTGAACTTAATTAGTGTAAAAAGACCTAGAAGCCTCAACTTAGTAGCCAATACTGGACCTGATAGCTGCTGGTGGTGTGTATTTAAATTTCAAAAGATACCCTAGATATTTGTTGTTAAAAAAAATTAAAATTACTTTCTCTCTCCCTTCACTCTTCCTATCCTGTACCTCCCTGCTACTACTAATTTCATTTTTCTAATCCTTCTTTTCCCCACATTTTAACCCCCTCATGATCTTTCTTCCTGCATTCCTCACCTACCATTTCTTCCCTCCGTTCTCTTTATTGTAATATCTCTCACTATTGTGAGAGGAGATGGAAGAGGCCTTTCAGACACTGAGGGCTTCCCGCTTGGATAGACCAAGAAGACAGAAGCAGCAGTAGGTACTGAGCTCTGGTGTCAACGACAATATGAGAGGAGAGAGCAGCAGCACAAACAGGAAAGAGGATATCTGAGGTCCATAATTTACTGCTGGGCAGCAGCTTCCCAATGTTATGTGGTATCTGCCAACAGGACACAGTTCAGAAGCATTCACTTTTCTTGAATTTAAACAGCAGCAAAAAAACAGAGTGGTCCTTCAGCACATTTTCTGGACCTGCCGAAGAGGCAAAATCCCAGCAGTCTATCAGTGCAAGCACGAAATCCTGATACCAGAAATGCTTCAAACTTTACCCAGGCTTCCAAGAAAGAACTGGCAGTAGATCTACGGCCAGACTGCCATACATGCTGCAGTACCAGGGCACAATAAGAAATATTAAAACCTTCTAGACAACTAGAAGGAATATTCTGCTTACACAGTTTTTCAAACTTTCATAATATTTGTATGTACTGTACATTTTTGTAATTTAGTAGTAAAAACACTACTAAATAGTGATGTGTGATAGTATTGTTAAGTTTTTATCTCTAGTAGTTCTATGCAATAGGAATTCAATTCCTTGTTGTGTTGATCTAATTCAAATAAAATAATTTTATCTCACTTTGAAGAAGACCATGAACAATTAGCTGTAAACAAATTATGCTTCTCTATTGGGAAACTGAATCTTTTTTTTTCCCTTTAAATAAGACATGAAATTAATTTTAAGCTTTCAAATTTGGGTTATACCTGAAATAAATTCTCCAAATCCAATAGCATCTATCTTTTCACTCAGGAAACAAATGAAGAAGTACGATGGTTTTCCATAGCAAAACAACTGCAGCAGGGCAGCTGTTATTTAGTTGATAAGTCGTCCATATTAAAATCAAAGTGCTATTTTCAAAAATAAAGATAGAATATTTTACTTAGCATACCTAGTCAGATTACCTTTAGTGCAGTATTTTTGCTGTAAGAACCTTTTTTTGGGTGCATTATTACAAATATTTTATACAGTAATACACTAAATACATATTTTTTTCAATATACTATCAATCACTTTTATCCTAACGTCGGTAAATCTAAGAATCTTCTGGCCATTTTTGTTTAACCCCTGTCTGTGATAATTTAAAATGGCAAAGAAAAGCGTAGTCTAGTTCTTGTAGGAAGTAAAAGAGATCTCTTCTGCAGCAAATTCCGGAACTTCTTAATTATACACAGACTTATTATCTGCATCCCCAGTGTTATAAAGTACCAGAACTTCATTAGAAAAATTAAGATGGAAAAATGAAGGCACTACTTTGTAAATTTCCAGTGGAAATTAGCTGGAAGAAGCAGAGGAATACTGGATCAAAAGAGGGTAATCATGCTTAACTGTGCCCTAGAGCACCCGCATGTATAATACGATTTGCACAGTAACTACCTCTCCTATTACTGCTTGTTTGGAGTATTCTGTGTTAATGGGGTTAGCTAATTTAGTATTTTAACTTAAAAAGACTCTGCTGATTAATAAATGTTGCACACTGTGCTAGTAATTAAAATAAATGGAAGAGTTACAAATAGAAGTTGAATTGTTAAGAAAACATTATCTGAAAATACATGATAATCCCTGTTTATGATAATACAATAACAGTCCAGAAAATATGCATATTGATGAAGTTGCAAAGCATACAAAAAACTAAGCATAATTTGAAAAAAGTTTTCGGATGTGTTATATTTGTATGACATAAAATGTAGTAGCCATTTTCTTTGCAGCTAAGTCAGAAACACAGTAAAAGATCTTGTAAATGCAGACATTTAAAGATTTTTTAAAATCTTAAATCCTAAAGTAACTTGCTTTTTAAATTTTATTACCATTAATACCAGGCAGCTTATAACACTGATGCTCTCCAAGTACAGAGTTTATTTAGATCATTAACTTCTCTGTAAAGAAGGAGCACTGTGTAGCACAGAAGCACCTACGCTGGTTGTAAAGGAAAGCATTATCTTGCTCGAAATAAGTCTATGAGGAGCTTGGTGCTGCAACGTTCACACAGCATGTGAGAAGCAGGGTGTGCAGACATTGCACTCTGCTGCACACAAGCGAACCGGTGTGCTCAGGACCAGCTTGGCTATCTCCAGTACAGCACTGAGCACGGACATAACCAGAAGCTGAGATGCCTTGCCTGATGTCACACCAGAAGACTACAATAAATCAGGAAATCGCCTCACATTGTTGCTGGTTTATCCCTATTCTGTCACCACATTGCCACTCATTCTGATGCATGCTGACTTTATAAAGATGTTTAACGGTATACTTTGAAGCATGAGGCATACTGGGTGAGACAGATTTCGGCAAAGTTAATTAAAATAATTTACACTTCTGTTCTCTGGAAAACTAGGCCAGCATGCAGCTGCATGCAACTGAGTAAAGAACTTTTCATGCTTAGTGATCTAAATCTGTTGGATCCAGCAGTTGGCATCTCAAACTAGACACTAGTTTATTAAGTGGCAATCCCGAAGGAGTCTAATTGTCATCCCTATTCAAGAGCAGAGGGAAATCACTTCATTTGTATGAAAAATAGCACAATAAGGCAGTAACAGCTTCAATTACACGAGAAAAAGGAATCATTCTTATTAGACTAGACTACTCAGTCTTTCATTACAAAACAGGAAATTCCAGCAGTTGCTTTGAGTAAGAGCAACACTCTCTCTTGCTTTCATTTGTACTGCTGCTGCCTGCCTCAAACTCTGCCACAACCTTTTCAATTATTTCTGCATTTTATCAGAAGCAAAAACTTTCTTGGAGCTTGAAACACTTAGAGAAAACGTATTACCACTTTAAAGAACCCTGATAACCAGAGGTGAGTGGGAATTCTGAGTGTTGTTTGAAATTGCGAAGATACATCAACAATTTTTCTATCTTAAGAGATCTCGCACAATACTCACTCTGGAAATATACGGATCAAGGATTCAGCTTGTCATTTTATGCAAACACAAGCATTCTCAACAAATGCTACACACTTCCACTGTTCGTTCTCTCCTTATTTTCTAAAACAGAAGAATAATCAGCATAGGAAGCACTACCAGGAAGAAATACAGTCCCAAAGTACACAATTACATAGAAAGAGATAGAAATTTGTCAATTCATAATAGACACTGCTGAGAAAAGACTACTGTTGAATCTGAGTAACCCTTTACTGACTCCTCCCTGGAGACTGGCATCCCACACAGCAGCTGAAGCATTACTAGTGAGCATTAGTCCTGATGATGACCTGCAACTCTGTCATCACCTTTTCAAGGTTACAGATGTGACCCTTGCATGGTTGGTCAAATATGAAGAACAAACGGAATGATTACAGCCTGAAAATGTATAATACACTATGCATTTAGCATGCATGAAGCTAAGAATCATTGGTGTTAGAATATTGCTTCTGTGCGTTAAGGATGGCACTAAGTGTTTCCTTACCCATAAGGTAAATAAAGACCCCTGATCAATTAATATCTGTCAAAGCTGGAGATTCCAAATTTAAACTGCACAAGATCAAAGCTTCACAATTCGCTTACCGAAAAGAGTCATATATTACAAGATCTGACCTTCTGAAACTGTTGACACAGTGATGTCTGGGATAAGTCTTATCAAATAAAGACTGGGCAATAGAGTCATGTCTATAAATGAAGTATATCATCCATCTTCACTTGGAATGCATCAGTCAAAACTTACTCAGTGAAAAGAACACTTTAAATGAGAGGTAGAACATTAATTATTACCTAGTGGTTTGGATTTTTTAAAAATTTAACAGGCAGAACCCAGAAATAAATATTTTTTTTTTAAAAAAAAAGGTCCAGATTTAAGCTGAGATGTGAAAGTTTAGCTGCTTCCCTCTCATGCCAATAAATGAAAGAATACAGAGAGGAATAGAAAACTGAAACATATTTTTACTTGTAAGTTGTCAGTTATGTTTTTGATATGAAAGGAATAAAAAGTACTATATCCCATTTTTGGTACAAAATATAAAAAATAACATTGCCTAAAAGTCGAAAGGTAGCTGAACTAAGAGATTTTTTCCTTTAAGAACTGTTTTTGAGTAGAATTTCTATTTAAAGTCACTGTTAATATTAAATCAGGGAAAACGAGAGGAAAATGATCCAACAATAAAAACATAAAAGCCAAGCCACGCAAATGCAATTGATTCTGGCACTCTTAAGTCCCAGTCCTGAAGCTGACACATGGCAACATGGAGCTGATAGAAAAGCTTGAAACAGATCAAAGATAGCAAAGCATCATGTCTCAGTGAATCGGTGGACCACAGGCTGTTCATGAGGAAAAGTGATTCCCTTCTGTCCTGAATTTTGGTATGAAAGTGTCAAAGGATTGCCAAGAGCAGTGAATTCAAGGGAAAAGTTGACAAAACATCAATTTTTTGTTGTTAACTACAAAGCCAGAGCAGATGACTTAACATGCTTTTATTATGATTGGACAAAAGAGTTCCATCATGATTAGAAAAGAATTGGAAATATTTTGGCAATAGCCTTAAATCTTTTGGGACAGAAGCCTTAAATATTTTGGGATGGATTATGTCTGTATTTGGGATTGTATTGAAAAGAACTGGCCTGTCTGACACTATTACAGATGCTATGGCTTAGGAAACCAAACTGCTTCAAAGACGATTACAGTTTTTGCACCATGTTCTAACATGTGCAACATATGCTCCCTTCCCTTCCAAGTGAGCTTTGCTAGTCTACTGGGAGAGAAAGCAAGTCTCATTGGCATGCAACACCATTTTTTCCTCCCATGGTCTATAAGCTCTCTGAATACGAAGACTGAAACTGTATTTTTTCCTTGGCAAGGTGCATGTGGCAAAACAGAATTTGCATTTGTTTTCTTACTTCCCATTAAACCCATCCGTTGCATCACATATTATTAGTATTACAAGTTCTTCTACAGATTCATAGATATAGATGGCACATGTCACACAATTACGAGATAGGGTCTCTGCCCTGAACTGTTTATCATCTAAGGACACAGAATTTAGAAGTATGTACACAGAATGTTTGCTAGTAAGCTGTCAGGTTTGACATTTCATTTTGTCAGGCATGAAAGGTTTCTGAAAGCAACGGAATAAAGAAAACACTCTCATAACAATATAAGAAAAAAAACAAAGAACTTACTCATTGTCATGAATACGGTTTCTCCATTCCTCCCTTTTCATTTCCTCTCTGGCCTTCTCTAGTGGTGAATTGATTGATGCTGCCACTCGCAAGGTTGGTTCCAAAGGCTTGTAGCGCTGCCGCAATACTTCAGCGGTATCGCGGAAAGGCCCCTGAAAGGTATAGGATAATGTACGTGTTTTATTGTGGGGTTACAGTTCTTTTCTTTCCTTCTTTTATTCATGACACATCACTGATGAAAGAGGACACAGAAGGGCTGGGAAGTGTAGCAAGACTTTTCTTCCAAAATAATTAAAGCAGTTCATTTTGATAGCAAGTTATAGATAACACAAAGGTTGATAACACGCTCTAAAGAGAGAATGAGAAATGTGCACTCCAGATTTATTTAACTACTAATAAATATTTATTGTTTTAAAACAATACATTGTTAGAACTGATTAGGAAAACTTTTGTTTTCCTTAGAAAAAAACATGGTGAAATAAAATCTGATACACAAGTATTAACTGTATCTAGGTTCTGCTTAAGCAGAAACCTTAAGTCTTTTCCTTTTGATAGGACAAAAAATGCTTTACCTTAAACAATATGTACTTTTCAACTATAAAGATACCTGGAAGGGAACTTAACGCATGACTTCGGATATAATTCTTCTAATACAATTCAGACTAATGACTTCAATAACATAGGTATATAGTCCATTTTTGAAAAGTCTAACTCCACATTAATTTCATAACTCTTTAAAAAAAAAAAGCAGCTCACTAATATGTCACAAGTCTCTCTCTCTATACACATATATATCTTTTTCCAGATTATATTGTTTAATAATGGATCATATCAGCATCTACCATTTAACAACACAGATAAATAACAGCAGGAAGTCCTTTCCTGTGCTGTCAGTGACATATCCTATGTCTTGCTTTAAGTACTAACCAGTAAGAACTTACCTGGAGTGTAATTAGTGCCATATTATGCTCAGGACAGTTTAGTAGCCGCTCTGGATTTAGAAGTGTTACTAATTAATTTTTATCTTATTTTCATCATTGTTGATCCTGCAATGAACTAGTGAAACCTTCTGAAACTATGAACAGACAAAGAATCCTAATCACAGCCTTTATTCTTAAAGATATCCTTCTTTAAATAGGTTATCACTAACAAGTCACAGCTGGAGTTACCGCAAGCACTGAGTGAAGACTGTGGGGCTAATAAAAAGAAATGATTCACGCCTCATTTATGTTCACTTATGTTTTACATTAATAGAAACCAATAATAGGAACCAGTTACCATAAAAGTCATGGACCGTAAATAACACAAATGGCAAATAAGTATCATCTAGTACTTTTCACAGCTGGACAGGAGGATTGCTATATTTGAAAGTAGTTAATGGAATTTTATTGGAACTTTACTTTTTAAAGGCACAGCATCACTATTTGGAGATCTTTTTAAAGGTCCTAGAAAGCAAGTAAGCACAGTATTTACACTTCTTGCAAATATTTTCTTTCTTCTACTGTCTAAACCTCCATAAACAAATGTGTTCATTTAGAACGATCATAACAAGTCTTTAAAAACAGAATGAAAAGTGTTATCGTCTGTGAGAGAGCAATCGATACAATGACAGGTCATTAAAACTAGTAAGCAATGTTCTAGTGATATGCAATCTGATGATCAAGTTATAAAAAAAGTTTAAAATTCACAATAAAAAATACTCTGTATTACAAGATATTTGCATGACGTAGACATATGGAGTAAAGAAGGAAGAAATGTACTGTTGTCAAATATCAAGATAAATATGTTTGCTTCTAGAAAACAGTCTTTCAGAAAATTTTATTTCTTCTTCATTGTAAAATATTGACTCACATTCCATCAGGGTGAGGGCCAAATCAGATATAGAATCACAGAATCATATCCTAGCAAGGATTTTTTTCCATCTTTAATTTCTAAGACTTTCTAACTCTTTCTTCATCAATAGTTCAAATGAAATTAATAGAGTCCAAGTACTAACGGAAGGAAGGGAGAAAGTGTAACTAAGCAAAGATCTCTCAAACAAGGCAGTGTTATCACTAAGGAAAGTAGGGTATACGTTAGAATATTAAGATAATTCTAAACATTCCCTGCAGATTTTTCCAGTCTTCTGAATCATGTATTTGAAGAAACCTGCCTAGCAATAGACACCTAAGGAAGATATCTAAGATGACAAGACCGCTAAAAAATCCATTTACCTATTTCCATTTTACAAGATTAACTTTAAGATTTGTGAAATCTGTGGTAGAAGGGTTCTTGCAAATATTTTCAGATGGGCAGTGCCTGCAAGCATTTCAGGCATCCTGCTTCAAAACTGAAATCTTCCTGGGGAGGCCAGGCTAGGAAAGGAAGGGAGGGAGTCAATCAACAGTTTTCACTCAGAAAGCAACTCACACAACTCTATGTTCTATGTTTAGAATTTGTAAATGTAGCATAAATCTTCTCACTACCGATTGGTCTGCCAAATAAAGGTAAGCAAATCGGCACTCTAACTACTTTATCATAAAATCAGAAACTCATGATAAAAATTATCATCTACATGTAATCCTACTTTCTTCCCTGCCCCCATTCCAGAACAGCTAACAGCATGCAAAAAATCCCCTAAAAACGGCAATATGCTTTCTGTTATTAATGTCTTTTAATGAACAGATGACTAATTTTTGCATTATCTGTGTTTCCATCAAATTGTAATTCTATTTAACTTAGTAATAAAAATGATAGATCTAACTGATGTATAATGATCATTAAAACTTTTCTTTAAGTACACTACCTTGCACACACAGAGCTTACCTATAAAATGCTGAATACCCATTTCCCTAAGAGGAAGCAGATAGATAGTTAATTTTTGTTCTTTTAAACATATATAGTTGACGTTCTCATATAGGATATCCAAGCCAATGGGTAATACAAATTTTAAATACCTGAGAGAACAGTGAAGTAACAAGTGACTCACAGTGGGACAGATAGATATTAAAAAAAGGAGCTTTGTGCCAAAAATTGTTACCACAGAGAACTAGGACACAAGCACAACTAGTAATTAAATTCCTTATTGTCACACCATACAACTTTCAGGATGATGCGTTCTGATGGGTTTTCATTTCCAGCTGTTCCATCAGCTTAAACCAGTGTCCTTTTCTTAGACATACAACCCTAAATCGTCAAAGTGTTGTGCAGGGATTTAGCCGTGTGACTCCCATTAACATCAATAAGAGTCGCGCAGCTAAATCCATGCGCTGTGCTTTGAAAATTTACCCCACAGTGTACATCCCAGGGTGCTGAAAGGATTAAAGTATTATATAGTAAATTCCCTCTTTGAGGTGCAGAAAATAAACAGAACTCTTCTGGTTTGTTCTAAAAGGCTATCTGTGCACAGCTGCTGTGCGTGCGTCTGAACTTAGAAAGGTCTATAAAATATTCCAGATCCAAACAGAAGATTGTAAGATACCTTGTATACATAAAGCGGTTTTGCAAGAGCAACTTAACAATGGAAAACGTAACCTCTGGGTTCTCTCTTTGTTCAAAAGTATGATTCCTATACCATGTCCACGAAGCAAAATCTTCTCCTTTATCCTGAGAGACAGTGCATTCAGTCACATCCCACTGAAGGACTGTCATCACCCCTTTGCTCCCAGAAGGCAAACCTATAATGTCATATTTATCTTAACTCTAAACTCCCTGATCACCCAAATGTTTGTTGGCTCACACTTTGTCTCGATTTTAATGTGAGTTAATGAGATCACTCTATGAGGAAGCTCAAGCAGTCAAGGTTGGGAGAACATAAGGAGGGAAGGACAAAGGAAGAGAATTGCCCTGAAGCTGATCGTTACTATTATAAGCAGTGTGTATCTCTGTGTAGCTCACCTCTACTTCTCCAGAGGTATTCTGGAAGGCCTGCATCTTCTTCTCCAATTGCCTTTACCTTCATGTCCCACCACCTACACAGACTCGTCCTGCTACAGACAAGCCAGTCATAAAGGCAAGAAAAGCCTCTTCTGTGTACGTTAGGCAGTATGCCCACAGCTGTCCCCACTGAAGAACAATGTGAATGCAATCAATAAACCAGAGGTAAATTGTGGCAGATATCATGCTTACACATAGTTCGAACTAAGCAGTAGTTCAAACTTCAGACTGTGTTCAGATCACCTGTACCAAGGGCTATAATAATATAGTGAAAATAACCATATTGATTCAGAGGAGTAAAATACCAATATAGATATATTATGCATTGTTTATTGCTCATTATTGTTGCTTAATTTCTGCAGTTCAGTGATAGTTTCAGTGAAAGTTACTGAGGACTCATTTTGAATCATTTTCTTTCTAAGCAAAATATGGAAGAGAAAATTTAAATATAGGACAGAGTACCAAAAAACAGTGTAAGACATTCTGAAGAAATCGTGGTCACTCAAAGTCAAAATGGCACTGAAAGTATATGTGTGAGGTAAGTAGAAGGCTCAGTAGATTGGGAAAACTGAAAAATTCTTCAGGATAGAGGGAAAGACAGAATACTTCTATCCCAAAAGTACCTGCATCAGCCATTTACTGGCAAAAGCTACATGTCATTGTACTGTCATCAAGTGGGGAACATAAAGGTCTCAAAAGTCTATCTGCTTTGTATATTGGGCATATTCCCAGCAGGTTTTGATAATAAGGTGACAAAAGTTGCTTTGCCATCTTGTGGGATGCACTATCTCAGAGATCTCCATTGCCTTATAGAAGTGAAAAAAACCTATCTGAAACATATGTTGACATCAACTTAAAATTGACATCAAATTAAAATTGAGACCACAACAGTTAAGAATGAGAGCTGGGCAACTTGGTTGTGATACAGAACAAAATGTAGAAATTGTCATAATTGAAGCTGACACACAGCTAATGGACACAAAAGAGCAGGAACTACTCTATACTGAGAAGATGGCTCTTAGCCTTCATAGGGAAAACAATTGCAAAAAGGGGAAAAGGTTATCACAACTGGTTAATTTGTCTTATTACCTTTCATTTCTCCTATTTTTTTATTGATTTAAAATTGAAAATTAAGAATTCTACCTCTAATTAATCATAATATTGATATTCAATTATACCAGCTCTTCCCTTTGAAATACCAGAAATTACGGTTTTTTCCCCCAAAGAACAAAAGTAAAGGCTAAAGAATGAAATTTCCCTGTTTTTATGTACCACCTAGGTTTCTTTTTCTTTAAGACAAACTGTTTCAAAGACTTTGTAACTTGAATGCAAGCGCTAGATGTAGATATAAAAATCAAATCCAGAAGAGGGATTTTTGGACTTGACGATCCAACTCAAGATATTCTGTGATAGTCTGTGGTAAAAGATATGAACAAAAGCTGCTTCAGAGACACTGAAAAAATGTTACCTGAGGTTTCTGTCTGCCAATCGGCGGCAGAGGCTCTGCTGTGGAGAAAGTTGGAGGCCTTGTACAAGTTGGCCAGTCATAGAGCTCATAGGCAAAGGGACTCTTAATTTGCTGCCGTTGGTGGCTCAATGGCTTTGACTTCCGTAGCTGCAGTTCCATTGGATCTGGGGATTTTCTGAATGGTGAATTGTATATGCCTGCAATCTGAGCAGAAGATGGGATTATCTTTGACTTCAACTAACTTAGAACTCATTCCCGCGTTTATTCTATAAATCAAACCAATTTAAAAAAAAAAAAAACAAAAAAAAACCAAAACAGTTCTACACAAAGTTTCTGACGACTACTGACATGGGATAGATCTATAGTTTAAATGCATGTCTGGACATTGCATTACAGTTACAAAAGAGTTTAAATAGGACAATGTAATGTATAAGCTATGTTTCAGCTCTTCGTATGAGGGTAACTTTAATTTTATGGAAGGAAGAGCTTCCTGTATCTCAAACCAATGTTTTCTTTCAGTCACATTCAATCTTTCACCTTCCACAGCAGTAGTCAAAGAAACATGCCAGTTTTCCCTTAAAAAATAATTAAAAGTGTCCAAATTTGCATCTAGTATTAAAGGCAATTATAGTTGTTTTGAAATGTAAAGTTTAGTTTTAATTCCAATTTAAATTCCTATACACAATAGGAACAAAAATATATTACCTATTGTTTCCAAATACATACTTAAAAAGTAAAATAGATGTTATGCAAGGGAATACAAATCTTGTCCCTTTAAACTCTATGTTAGCTGACTCACAATGTGGACTAAGACAGTGACAATTGCAGCATTTTTAAAAGAAAAACTGAGTGATTAGTTAAGAGGAAATATAAGAAAATTTACAGAATATCCAAAAACGGTTAATTTTTTTTTTCCAACAAAATATTCACATTAAATTCCTTTATTCAAATGTATTTAGCTTAATGATGCAAAACTTGTGAAAAACAAAAATCTAGAATAAAGATTTCTGAATTGTGAAATAAACTAAAAGATTTATTCTTCACTGAATTTGATATTTCGTTTTTTCAGGATAGATCATTAATTGTATCACTGGAGTGATCTAATATAACAATTACTAATATAAAGCATTCATTTCAAATCCTGAACTAGTAATCTATGTCATTGGCAATCTGTGAATATTTGGCAAATCAAAATTATGTGACAGACTGTTCCCAAATAATTCCTACAAATATAAGGATTTTATCAATTATATATAAACAATTCTCAAATAGACATATGTGAGTTAACTGAGTTAATTATGAATTGTTAAACATGAGAATTCCTATATGATGTTGCACAAACCCACTAAATCTCCTATAAAACAGATGATATATGCTTAAAATACACCTGGTGAAAATTAATTTACATACTGAGTTGCTTTAAGAATACTTAGATTTTCTACAACAGTATACTCACTGTTCTTAAGCCTTTTAAAGTAGATTTGCTTAGTTAAAATATATTGTCCTTTGCTTTTATCATAATTTTAATTGCTAAGAAATATTGGAAAAAAAATAATAGGAAAATAAATCAGTTTTGTGATGCAAGGAAAGGTAAGGAAAAGAGTAAATGTTTAAAATCTTGCATTTCGCCTTTGGAACACACTACCAAAGACTCATGAGAAAACTAAGTAGAGCATCAGCCTCCTCATAAAGTATTAATCTCTTGGGGCTGAGAGGATTGAACACTCCCCAGTTAGCTCTAATGCATTTTTCATTAACATATCCTACCAGGAAGTTCCAATTTCTTTTGTCAAAACAGTTAAATAAGGCCCATATAACCTGTTGTTTAATGGACAAAAACATTCAGAGGTGGTAGCTTATTCAAAATATTGTTGGGCTATTCAAAATTTTATGGACTATATTCTTTAACTTTGCAAGTGATCTGGCCCTAATGACAATTTATTTTGGCTCTCTGTTACATGTTTCCCTCTTAGTCCAAACCCTATAAACCATTCCACTACACTATCAGTCTGAATGTGTAATGAATAGAGATGGTTGGTAGAAACATATGCATGCCACAAACACACTGGTTGTTCCTTCAGCTCTTCAAGTTGCCAAACTAAAATGGTAGAGATCCATGCTTCAAATAGCAGGCAAGCAGAATCACCGGAGGGAATGTGAAATTGCACGTCTGTCTGTATGATCTGTAAAATCCAGCTGCATCTTAAAAGTTTAGTTCTGCAAGTCTGGCTGCTACTCACATGAAGATCTCATATTTACAGATTCTCCTAATGTTATTATTATTATTTTTGTAGTATTTCATACATTATCCTATTGCAATTTTCTTATCAGCCCAGAAGAAAAACATCTCCATGTACCCCACTGAGAATCAGGATGATCTGGAATAAACCTCTATAGCACAATAACAACTCTCTGAAGTTGGCGGGCATAGATTTGTTGAACAGCAGCAAATCTTGAGCAGGTCTGCATCTGCCCAAAATCTAGACCCTTTTTTAAGCCTTTTTTGTTAAAAAAATAAAATAAAATAAAATAAAATAAAAAAAGCTGAAAAAGCTGAAAAGCAAATTAGGTGGGAAATTTTAACAACAAAAAAAAATATATTATTTTAATCTACATAGCACAGGTTTGTTTTCTCTTCCCTCAATGTGATAGTTTAAGCATAAAGTGATAATTTAAGCATTTTCCCCTGAAGAATTACAGTCAAGAATCGCTTTAAAGTGGTGTGCTGTCTTGGCTTCTAAGAAACAGTGCTGTTTCTGTTAGTCATTCTTAGAGGAAGTTCAAATGGCTCCACGAGTATAACGGCTTTCTGAAACTGCATTTTGCAATCTATATCGAGATACTATGTATATTCTACTTGACATTTCTTTGCTTAAATGTTTGACAGTAGAAAAAATTATAGTTCATGAAGGGTTAAAACGATGTGTAATGCTGCTAAATATCTGAAGGTGCACAAATAGAATTGGCTTTTAGCACTTCTAATGACACCAAAACTAGCCACAATAGGTGTGGGAATCCATTGATTCAGTGTCTTTTGAATTACTATTGTTGAAAAGGTGTCTTAACAAAGAATCATCTTTCGGTGTTCTTTTTTCACATACTTTCAGATTAAAAACATACAGATAGTGTACTAACTATGAAAACAGATTTGGAGTTTTAGTGAGGCCAGTTGGACACTTTAAAAGTTGTTGCTTCTAGTAAGATCTGGGTCAAAATTGATTATGAAGTGCATTTAAAAATAATTTTTCAAGCAATCCTTGTTAATTACTTTACATTTTAATTATATATGTTCAAGTATTCAAACAGACAGATAGCAAAGCAATCAGCAGAGTTAGCATCTAGATAGATAAAATTAATACTAATTTACTCTAAATTCCCCAAGGTTTGTGGTAGGGTTTTAGGCCTAGATTTAGAATTGGCAAAGTTTAGTAGGAGAGATGAGGGGATGAGTTTGATTCTACTTTCAAGTTCAGACCAATCTCTAAGTTGCTTCCCTTCATTTTTAAATATCTCTGCAGATCATAGTCTTGTTTTTGTAATTTCTTGCACTGATGGATGCCCTATTCACTCTATCCTCTGCAGGGAGCTGGCAATCTGCAGGAATCTAAGAATCTGGAGGATCGAAACTTTTGGTACTTAATAAATTTGCATATCTTCTTGAGACCGGTACAATGTGTTAAAAGAGCTACTTCGTTTTTTCCCTACTTTCATATAATATTCTCTCAACTACAAAACCATTGTAGTTAATACTGCTTTTTCAATGGTATAAAGTATCTGTCTTGAGATATTACCTCATACTTTGATTCCGATATTTTCTGCACCTTTAGTCCGTAAGAAAATATGCTACCCTCCAAAACATTGAGATAGGTTACAAAAAGTACCTTTTGTCTGCAGGGAGAATGACACATTTTTCTGTACCCATGTTCTTCACAACTAAGAAGGGCCTCTGTCAAAGCCAGCTTTCTGGGACTTCATTTCCAGGAACAATTTTCTAAAGTGACGAACACTATGGGGAAATCTGTGCTGCTAAAAAACCTACAACTGAGTTATTTGCAGTACTGTCATGCTAACTTCCACCTCAATAAGGCCAAAGAAATCTCAGGAGGGGACTCTGCTAATAGCTTCCTACTGACCTCCTTGCATCAGGCCCTTCTGGTGAATGGTGGCCCATTGGTTAATATGGCAAATGAGGTGTGAAAGCACAGATTTATTTTTTTTTTAAGACTACGGTTCTGACTCGTCAGGGAAAATAAAAAAAAAAAAAAGAGAAATGAGTTATACAATAGATATATTTTTCCCCTAGAATTCTCTGCCTCAGACCTTCCATCATGGAAACCCAAGCATGACCTGGAATATTAATTGTGTCAGGTCAAGCATACTGGCAAATGTACCATTTGTTACCCAGTCATCCTTAGCATTACATTAATATTTTGAATCATTTTGCATTTCTAACACTCTATCATTTAGTTTCCTCCCAATCATTTTCTTATCTTTATAATTAATGGCGGCATATAAACAAAGAAAAAAAATCACAAGAAAACAAATATTAATTTAATGAACATTAGCAAAGAAAAGATTTGTTGGGCTTTTTTCAATACTCTTTACTGATTTCACCCCAATCCTATATTTAGTTAATGCTGTAGAATACCCATTTTTGTCTTTTCCTGTCTATCATTTCTATACAGAGAGAAAGATTTAACTGTTTTTTCCCAGAATATAACAAAGAAATTATTAAGGAGCTTACCTTAAAAGATAAACTATGAAGGAAGGGAGCAGCAAAAGAAATAAAAAGAAGGAAGCAAGAAAGGAAAGAAAAAGGTGCAGGTAGAAAAGGAAAGACAAGGTTGTTTTGATTACGTCGGGTAGTTGCTCAGAAAAGATTGGTAATCCCAAGAGGTATAATAAAATGTGAACGGTTTTAGATGCTGCAATTTTTATTTACAGATTAATGATTTCTTATTCTTCTTTCTTATTTCTTGACTGAACTTTTAAAGTCTACATATAAAATTTCAAACAAAATATGCCTTAGTAGATACAGTGTAGCTACCGCACTGCAAATATTTACACACATGCAAAAATAAAAATTGATGAAGTTGAGCTGAAGGTAAAATATAGGCATGAATTCAATAGAAAGTGTATCCTCATATCTTTAAAATATTGTTTACTGTAATTTAACTAAACTATAATAAAGGTATGATCTGTTT